CTGCATTTCATTTTGTAGCGAACCTCACCCTCCCCTCCCCCCTCTCCCGGCGATAAATAATAACCTGTTCCTTTGATGAATAAGAGAAAATTTAGTTTATCACGAGGCGTGCTAATTAATTGAGATAAAGGTTCAGGAGATAAACAACAATAAAAGAAAAATTTCTTCTAGGATCTGGCTTAGAATGCTTCAGTTGCACCAATCTAAAGAACTGTGATGGCTGTGCAAGTAATCTAGCAGACGTGGCATTTCTTTGTAGACGGGAACCAAGTCAAGTATTTACGGCAAAAGTTGTTCCACCTCTCAGATCTGTAAAAAGTGTCCGACATTATTTAAACAAGTATGACATCTGTCACTCCTATAAATGCAAAGTGACTTGCTGCTTTGAGGATCTTAGTAGTGCGGCTGCATTACCTGTAATCGGAGTTTTCATTTTTGTCACAAGCGTAGTACTGGCCTTGGCATTAGTTTAAGTCAGTCGGCGATCAGCGAAAGAAGCCCGGATTAATTATGCACGACTCCTGCTTCAAAGCAAGTCTTTCATTGACTTCACTAGATTTTTATCATAATTTTTATTTACTGTAATTTTAGCTTTCGCTAAATCGAATGCTGGGTAGAAGTTAAATTTAACCCCACCACGGACCGCCTCTTGTGTAGACGCCGTTTGAAAATTATACTTTTTTTCACTTGCGAATCACCAAGGTATCAAAGTATGTCGGGTCGAAAGGTCAGAACGGTGAAAGCTAAAGAAAAATTAAATTAACTGATAAAATTAACGTAAAGGATAAGTAAAGGAAAAATCAGGGCAAAAATTTACTTACATTCTGTGCCTTAAAAAGTCGAAGAAGATGCTCACACAAACAATCTGTACATTAAAACACGTGCGAGAGACTGGGGTTTTTTGTCGTGTGACCAAATGAGAAATTATGTAAGAAGACATTATGTAAGAGAAATTATGTAAGTGTCCAAAAGCAAGAAAACCAAAACAACGACAATGATACAAAACAAAAAAATGACACATCCTAGTTTTAGACTAAAAACCACCTCCTCCCCCTCTTAACTCGAACCAGCCATCATTTTACTGCATTTTCTAATGTAATCTTACCTTTTAGAAGACGAACTAAATTTGTCAATACTAAGAGAGCTCTCAAAAGATCACGAGTACATGAACTAATGCTGACCGTGTTTGTTCTGACAACATAACATTGAATAAGTAAATTTTCTTTCTGGAAAAATCAACTCAAATGGGGTTACAGCCTATAAGCCCAGAGAAACCTCACGAAAGTGAACGCCACAAAAATCCTAGAGTATACGATGCTTCGCTTGAAACTAGATAGGATATTCACTTGAAAAAGTCCATGGCTCAAAGTTTTATTTAAATTTGTATCTAGACTTTTGGTTTGCAACACCATTCAGTCAGGTGCGCTAAATGATATACAATCTACTTTACTATTAAGCTAACGAAGTGCAAATTTTGTGTTGGCATTGGTGCCCGAGCAGAGAGCTTCATGAAGGGCTTAAGAGTATAAAAGGTCAGTTGAAGAAAGACAAACTGACGTGGGATGTCGCGCTATTATCCAAGAGTTCTTTTCTTGTATCAAGGTCTTCGGTCTTTGTTTCAACTCAGTACAAAGTGTACAAAGCCATACCTAATCTTTCCCCCGCTAGGCTCTTATTTAAAAAAGAAAATCAAAGGACGTTCGAGAAAAAACCGAGTTGTGTGTTCAACTGATGTCCCAGTTGACACAAGATCAAATCTTCAGTTTTGAAAAGGATGACGGAAAGCTGGCTACAGAAACTGTCAACATCGAATGGTAATATCATAAATTTTCATGTTTTTTGTTTTGTTTTGTTTTGTTTTTTTCGAAAGATCACTTATAAGTCTGACCTGATTGATTTCACTCACCAGTCCTTTTATTCATCACT